TGATAGTCCAAAGATATATAATCCCTGTGTAATATACACTTAGCATTATCAAATCAAAACCCTGTGTTTTTCCTTGGGATTAAGGTTGATTGCTATTCATATAAGTCATGCAAACTTCCAATGTGTCTTAAAACTATTATTTTCATCTTTTACTTGAAATCTTTCTTTATAGTACATGAGAATGAAATAGAGATGACCCATTGCATTCCTCATTATAGTTTCATCACAACCTAAGAAAAATTTAATTCATTTATCCTATCATCTTAATACTTACACACACACACACACACACACACACACACGCACACAAAGCCTCATTCAGCCGCTACATTATAAAATATTCTATACCATCTAGTGATCTTTTTATGGCAAAATTCAGCAACTATATCTATAATTTCATCTCTTTTGTCGCCTTACCTACTGTTGAATTTCTCTGGGTGTTTTTCTCTCATGATGTGGAATCTGTGTGCAATGGAGGCATCCTAAGGGGAGAAAATAGAAAACAAAAACAGGATGGTTTATGATCCTATTATCTCATGAAAATGTAGACTAAAATAAAAAAAAAAAACATTTTAAAATGAACTTTTCTTTACAATATTATTGCCAAGAAGATTATGTGAAATTAGGCAAAAATGTGTGATCCATATAAATTATATGCAGAAGTGATTTATGTAATTTCACAATTGATTATTTGTTACATTTACATCTAAGACTTTACTACTATTTAATTTCTATATCTCCTTTTAATGACCAGCTTTGACCTCATGTTCAACGTATGTTGAAGATAGCACATATGAGCATAAATGTCAAATAGTAATTGAAAATATTGTTAAACAAGAGTTAGAAGGATGGCCTAAGTGGAGAAATGATCAGTACAGAAGCTCCTAATTATTTGAGATTAATTATGGGAAAAAGATGGTGTGAGGGTGCATGTCTAGTAAAGATAAATGCAATACTTGACTTCAGAATTTGCTTAGGTTGTCTTGATGTGTAATTAATAATAGTTTGTACCACAAGCAACTTTCTGGCATATCTCGTTGAATAGAAAAACAACAAAAAACAGCAAATTTTGGGGGAACTGTTGACAAATACAATTTGTCTCTGAGACTCCAAGTGCATCAGTTCTGACCCTAATGGATGTTTCTTACTTTTAGCAAATACAGATTTTTTTTCATGAGATAGAAATCGTACTCAATGTGTGAGACTGGTGAAATACTGCTATCCAAGCTTTTCAAGCACAGACTGCTGCAACTGACTCTAAACAATTATCTCTGTTATTCCAAGTGTGGAGATATTTTCCCATTCTTCATCCACACATGATTAATCACTCAAATGAGAAACTAATATATTTACCAGTCACCTCAATAGAAAAGGGCTATTGTTGACATTCACTGTTAACTTTGTTTCAAAGTGGAGATAAAAGTAAAAGAAAACCAAACGCAAGGAAATAAAGAAGTTGTGTATTTGAGAGAATCTTGAAAACACTAATCAAGGATTAAAAGTCTAATGAATGAAATGAAAGGCTAATGTGCTTACTCATGCATAACAAAGCATGAGGCACAAAAAGAGAGGGACCAATGCCCACTGCAGATGGCAGAGAGTTGCAGGATAGAGCTAACTGTAATTTTTTCTGTGCAAACATTTGATACCCTAAAATTTGTCAAGTAATTGAATTAATCTATGAATGAAAATCATCCAGACACATAGATAGAAGTGTACAGAAAGAATGCTTATAATAAAGGTTACAAGAATCCCCCTCTACGGTTTAATATTTAAGACCTTATTTTGCTATATACACATGGCCAACTTCCTGGTTTGCTAGGAAGTACAAATATCAAGATGGTTCACTTTTGTTGGTCCAATGATAACTCTCAAACTAGTCACAGAGTTCCTTTTTATAAATTTAATTCTGTTAAGTCATAAACATATTATACTTTATAATATGAAGTTGTCTTACTGTGGTATGAGATTACAGGAAAAACATCTGAACTGGGCTATTTATGGTATATGTAGCATGATCAATTAATTAATTTTGAAAAGCATTTATTTTTACTTTATCTGTAATCTGGTACAAAATCAATTTGGAATATCTTCCAATTAAACGCATACATTCAGCAGACTATTTAAACAAAACAAAGGAATATGAACCAAACACTAAAAATGAATGATCAATATTGCTTCCCATAGGGAGAGTATCATTGAATTTACTTCTGCTTGAATTATTTGTTTCTGCTAAGTTGGGGAGACTGAGACTTTTAAAAATAGATTGTGTAGTACATTTCTTTTTACAAGTGTATATTTTTGTAGTAACAAATTTCTTTCTTTTTCAAAGCAACATAAACTGAATAGAGAAAGAGAGAGAGGAAAGAAGAGAGGAAGGAGGAGAAGAGAGGGGAGAGATAGCAAAAGACCATTTAAGTAGACTGACTATAATTGGGTAAACTCCTAGAAACACAGGACTGCATAGTCAAAGATGAAACTAATATTAGCTTATCTATCTTCAAGATTCTTGGGCAATGGATCATTTAGTTAAGAGGGGAAAAAATAAAACTTAGTGTCAAACACTAGCAGGTCTTTTCCTTGTGTTGAATAGGTTCCACCATAAAAAGAGAGCTGGCATTGCCGACTACAGGGTTGATAAGGAACAATGACAGCAGGTGTTCATTTGGATGAGAATTCAGACCCAATTCACATGGGACCCTGTCCCTTTGGCATAACCCCAGAGGGCTTGATAGAGTACTGCCAAAATCTGCAACATTATCCAGCAGCCATTTTTCAAGAGAAACTAAATGTTCTCTAAAGACAGACCAAATAAGAAAAAGCTAAAATGCCATTTTAAAATAAATTTTACCATTTCTGTCTGAATGCATTATAGTTTTTAGACAACAGAAATAAATCAGCATTACTTCCACTTCCTAGAATGCAGAAACTCTGAATTCAGAATTTCTACTTCCAAGCCTTGTGACTTTAAACAAATTATTTATTCATTGAGAATCACAGCTTCCTTATCTTTAAAAGAGGATACTGATATCTCTTCAAAGTATCTTGGTGGAGATTTAATATCATTCTCTATAGCAATTGGAACAGTATTCTATATAGCTGGGATTTTCATACATCTTATATACAAACAAATATTTTCTTAAAGTTAAAAGAGAATGCTAAACATGGTTAAGTTACATATTTTTGAAATATATTTTTACAGACTCAAATTGCTTTTCATTACTTCCTTAACCTATACAGCTTTATTTTTAATTAAAAAAATTATATCTAAGAAATGAAAATAAATCAATTTTATTAAAGCAAAACAAATTTAAACCTCATTGTGCTATTCAAACAGTAAAAAACTAATTAGCAACATTTTTGCTATATTTACATATATAAGTATATACTAATATATGTATATCAAATAATCAGTTTACTAGCCATATCTGTCTCCAATACTTGGCCACTAGTATTTTTCTGAAATGTATTTTTCCTTTTTCTGTATAGGCTTATTTATATTTTAAATAAAATTGCCCTAAATCTCCAAATTTGCATTTTATGATATTAATTTGAAAAGCTGATTGTTTTCTATGGATCATAACTTTTCAATTGAGAGACTATTCTATATGTGTTGAGATCCCAGAGCCTATAGCAAATCCTGCTGAGGAGAATATTGTTTTTATAAAATGTAAAATATATCTACCCAAATATTGTTATCAATATTATATTTTGTTCTGTTTAAAGAATCTTTCTCTCACAAATAGTTTCTAAAATTTGTCAAGTAAATTGTTCTGGTTTTTGATGATTTGGCCATTGCACCACATTAAATATCTTTTCAATTTTATTCCATTTTAGAATAGAATATAAATATATCCAATTAGAAATGAGTTATTAAAAATCTAATTTTAGAATTAAATTTTAGAATTTAAATTTTAGAATTAAAAATAATCTTGCATACTCTATGGGTTTTTATTGTTGAAATAATTTAGTTCTTCCTTGGTTTTGGAGGAATAAATTCCAATCTATTCCTGTGTGCACACTTTTCTTTTCCTCAAAAATTGTAATTTACTAAGAAGTTTCAAAAGCTGAAGTTTTCAGGGCTCTATTTGTTGAATATTTTATTAAAGATTTCCAGTAATATTTTTGAAGTGTTATTGCATACAAGAAAATTGCCAGTTTTAAGTGTACACTTCAATAAGTTTTGTCAAAGGTATACAGTAACAACAATCTTTTCCTATGCTTTTGTTCATTCGTATTTCTTCTTACATGGACTACATATTGAAGTCTGTGTCCATTTGTCTCTGTATATTAAATTGACTGGGTTCAAGACCCAGCTCTAAATTTTACTGAATATTTTACCTCGAAAAGTTTGCTTAGATTTTCATTTTCCTGTATTAAAATAAGAATAATTTTAATATCTGCCTTGCTTTGAAGATATGCTGTTCTAATACCTGGAAGATAACTGGAACTGTGCTTGGTGTATAGAAAGCAAGAAAATAAATGTTAGCTGTTACTATTATTGAAATATATTCATGATTTTGAGACTCATAATACCTTCTCATTTGGTTTATTGAGATAGTTAATTAAATAAATTGCATAATCTTTAAGATGAAGTACATGAGGAAATTTTTGCTTTGGTATTCAGAATTTTATGGGTTATGCATTCATATTTGATAAATTATCTAACAAACTCAAAAGGGTCAGGAATATCACACTATACTTCACATAAATATTTCTTCACTAGTACATATGAATATTGACTCAAGGAAAGATAAATTAACAATGTGAGATAGAGCTAACTGTAATTACAGTTACACTAGAAACACTACACTTTGTAATACTACAAAGAGCAGCTTAGTTCAGGTTATAGTTCTCACCAAGAAACTATACAAATTCGGGTTTTCAAAGCTTTGTTAGATTGAGCTTTTAGATAAGAGATTGTGGTTCTGTATTTCCCATCTGGAATAAAACAATGTTTGCTCTCCTGACAATCTTTACCTGAATGTACTGTGCTCTCCTGACAATCATTACCTGAATATACTATTTATATAAGGCACTATTTTTACCTGTTAATATTTTTAAAGAAAATTACAATTAATAGCCACAAGTGGGATTATTTCCCAGGCAGATTGTATCAGATATTGATATCTGCAGTGCTGGGTTGATAAACAGAGCCAGAAAGTTTCCTTCTTTATGCTGCAGAATAGTTAATAATGCATGGGAATTATTTGCTTTTTAATTATCTGTGAAATGTTGGCCTGGCTTTTTTTTTTTTTTTTTTTTGGAGAAATTAACATTTTGGTTTTCTTATTTTTTCTGATATATTAGTTTTTCTATCTCTTCATAAATTATGTTTTTTATTACTTCATCTATAGTGGGCTCAATGGTGCTCCACAAAAAGTTATCAGATCCTAATAGCTGGAACCTGGTAACTTTTTTTTACAGAAGTGACCAAGTTCGTGACTGATATTGATTGGAACCAGTGACTCCTCTCTACATT